AGAGGGGAAAATAATCCCAGCCACCTCTTAAACAATATCTTAAAAAACTACAAACCAACATGAATTCTCCACCAACCTACAGAAGACAATAGATCACACATATCCCAAATATACGATTTGTTGGCGGTTAATTGCGACCAGACTTCTCATCTGAACAATTGCTTGGGTTGAATGATGTACCTCACCATCTTCCTTATTTGTCCTATACAGAAAAAAAAAATGACAGCAGAATTGCAGGAGGAGAGGGAGGAGAAAAGCAACTGAGAAGGGGTGCAGCAAAAATCACAGATGAACCAAGGAGCAGGAGAGTGACGCCAGAACCCATTTTGTTGGACAGAAGACAGGCTCTGCCTGATTAAGAAAAATATATAGCACAGGACCAAATGTAGCTGAATGACTTACCCAAGTCAATGATACGCACCTAGAGCCCACTGTAGGCTAGGTAGTAAAGACACACAAAGATGACAAAGATGAAAAGGGTAAAGGCTCCTGCTCTCCAGCCAGCTCAATGTAGATGAAGAAACTGATAACCGAAGAAGACCATCACAATGCAGTGTGATGCAGTGCTCCAAGAGACAGGACACTGATGACAAAGCTTTGAGAGAAGTCCCCAGGGAGGGGAACGATTATTGGGAGGTGGTGTGCCATGTGTGCCATTGGGAGAGGACCTTAGGCAAACCATTCGGCCTCTCTGCACCCTCATCTTAAAAGGTGATTCTAGCTGGTTGCTTTATCTCTGAAAGTAAATGTTAAAGCCCACCCTGCAGACTGAAAGTCTGATATGAGGAGGTGTGCAGAAGTGATTTCCACTGCTCCTTTGGGCAAAGGCCACCTTGAGGTGCTCATTTTGTGTGCTGAGTACTAATGTTCTGAGAGCAAGCATGGAACCCTTTGCCCAACATTCTCTCTGCCCTTCCACCATCCTGTGCCTCAACTGCACAACTGTACAACCAATGCCCTCTCCTCCCGTGTGTGAGTGCAGAACACCCACAAGCACACAATCTGAAAAGGATGAAGAAACACTCACCAACTTCTGATGGTCTCCATCCTTGATGTCCATAGGAGGTGGCAGGGGGCAGGCTCGACACTCAGAGACAGCATTGCTACTGATATGCACGATTCTGGTCCCTTCTTTGGTCCTCTTTCTTTTCTTCTCTCGTCCTCCCCTTTATCAGCTTATCTTCATCAACCTTTCTGCCCCCCCTCCTTCTCGCTGCCTAACACAGTGTTTCCGGGCTTCTCTGCTTAGCTCTCTCTCCCCAATTGGGCAGAACAGAGTAATTTCTCAAATCTCCCAGGAGAGGCCCATCAGGAGCCTGGGAAAGGGGAGCTGCTTCTACGGAGGCCGGAATCTCTGCAGTTTTCTATTACAGCTATACCTTTTGCTAGGACTCCTCCTCCTTTTCCTCTTTCTTTTCCTCCCTCTCTTTCTCCACTATCCTCGTCTTCTTTCTCCCGACTCTTCTCCCCCTTTCCTTTTTTCTTCGGATTCAGCCATTCCCTCTCTGGTCCTGATCAGCATTCCGTCCTCCTCCTCCCCTCAGGATATAAAGCTCAGCTACACTTCTTTTTAACCTCTCTCCACTGATCCACCTGCCCCTCTCTCTCACCCAGGACCCCCTGCTTCGGCTCCCCGCCCTTACCTTCTCCCCCCCCTCCTTCCTGCTTTCTGGGTTCTGGAGCATGCTGGGGCCCACTGCAGGGACCACCACCGCAGAAGTTCGGCAGGGACCTCTGGGCCTGGTCCAGGGGAAACTTGCCGCTCCAGGTTCTGCTCAGCAGCGGCTGACCTCACTGGATTGTGCCACGTGATTGGCTACTGCAGGGCTCTCGGCGGGAGATCCTGAAAAGATTTGCATAGCCTGTTTCTTTGTCCCTCTACCTCCTTAGATTTGGTTGGGGAAATAGGGCCCTGACCAGGACTACAGTTTGAAAGAGGGTTTAGGGGTTACCCTGTGGGAAGAGAGCAAGGACTCAGGCCCCCAGAAGAATAGGAAAGGAGAACTGTTTTTCTGCCCAAAGGGATCAAAGTTAACGAGCTGAGGGGTAGGCTGTTTAGTAGAAACCCTTACAGAATTTGAGCACCCCAAGAAAGGTAACATCCAGGAAGGTGTGACCTAAGGCTCTAACCTTGATCTCTCCGCCATGCCTAGGAACACAAATAGGAGCTTGAATCTGGAATCAGGTGTTTAATTTCTAGTCTTATGTGATCTTAGGAGAGTCACTTCATTCTGCTTCCGTCTGCAAAACAGGGATGATAATGCTAGAATACTTGTTTTATAGATTTAGTAAGGAAGGATTACATGGGGGACAATTGTGCAATTATTAAACCTAAATATACTGTAGTGCACAATAAGGCATAACCAAAGGAATGAAGAATCTTTGGTTTCCTTTTATTTTTCTGTACTCACTTTCAGTCTTTTTGGTCTTCATTGTCTTCATCTGTGAAATGTGAGATTTGGACCTTTGGTTCTCTACTATCTCTTTGGCTCTAACATTATGTGATTGCTAAAGTGTAGTATCCTCCTTTAATTTGCCCTTCAGAGGATAAATCGCTACCTTTATCAGGACTCTAGTTAATGCCTCCCCTCTTTCTCTTAGGTATCCTGGAGAATCTAACTTGACATAGGGGGGCTAGCCTGTCCCACACCCTCCTCTCCCCTCCCTTCCCTTCCCTTCCCCCCACAATGGAAGTGTAGACCCCAACTGTAGCAGTGTATGCAGGGCTCATCCTTGATGGAGATTCTCTCCCCAGGCTACTGGCAGGAGCAGGATTTGGAGCTGGGAACTCTGGCTCCACTGGACGAGGCCATCAGCTCCACAGTCTGGAGCAGCCCTGACATGCTGCCCAGTCAAGGTGAGAATCCAGGCCTCTCATCTGAATGTCCCTCAGATCCTCCCCCCATTCTCACATCATTTTCCACTCATGCTGCCTTCACCAACACCCTCACTCCCCTCATCACCACTCAGCTTTTCTCCTTTCCATTTGACATTTAGCTCTTAGTAGTACATCATCAATGTCCCTTGCACCTACACACCTTCTTCTTTGCTCACTCTGGTACAGAGACCTCTGTAACCCTGCACCTCTTTCTAAAAATAAATGCTTCCATGGGAATATATCACCCAGGACAAAGACATCCTGGACAGACATGCTTCAGGAAGAATTCTTCAAAAGGAGTCAGGGACATAGGAGTTGTTGGTCAGGAATTGGCATATGGTTATGGTAAATAAAAGATTTCCCAAACCTTTCATGGAAACATTTTAAGAAACTATCACATCCGGAATTTTCTAAGTCAGATCAGTTGACTGGCAAATTAATCTCAAACCATGGTTTTAATTCTCAAAAGTTACCTGACTGCTGGAAGAAGCTATCCCCTGAAAAATGCCAGTGTGTGGGAAACAGAAGAAGGGAATTCCTATCCTCAGAAGAATTAGTGGAATGGTCTCAGTCATTTCACCTCTGTTGCCTCACTGCCTACATCTTTAAAATGAAGCGATTGGATTCCATCAGCCTTAAGGTCTCCTGCAGTTCTGACTTATACCATTCCACAGTAGAGTGAACAATGAGGCTTTGTACTCCAATTTGGAAACAAGCACCCTGAATATTGAACGCTCCAGCACACGCACCTCAGGGCCTCCTCTCTGATAGAAGAACCCAGGGTGTATTTCTTGGAAATGGAATTCTAGTGATGGAGGAAGGAAGAAATAAGCAGACAGGACAGGGATGAGGTCAGTGCCAAGGGGAGCACGAGATTGGTTTTAAAGTATTCAATAAGGGAAAGACCAGGAGTAAGTTTCTGAGTTTTCCTATTCAGACGTGAACAGCGCTGGTTAAGTAATTCAGTGCCTTAGAGCAGCCTGTGGATGTTGCAGAATCAGGGCTGAAGGTGTTTATTTTAGATTAGTTTCTGTGGAGGTCAGTGCTGTTGGGTCACTGCAAGTCAGTCTGAAGATGAAGGAATCAATATTGGGAATCAGGATCCATGCTGTGGGGGAAGTTGGAGCAATATTGGATGCAGTGGGGCGGGGGAAACACAGGTGTCAGAGTCTGAGGATCTCAAAGCCAGACCTGAGGAGAAGGCACATGTGGGATTCAAGTAGCTTATCCAGATACCTTGTAAGTCCTTTCTGGTTTTGTTTGATTTGACCAAGGAGAGAGGGGTTAGAAAACGTGTTTCTAGCACATCGAAAAGAAAGCATGAATCCTTCTCTCCTTAAAGTGATATCAGGCTGGTGAGTTGGGTCTGTGTGCTGGGAGGTGGGAGGTATTAACTCTAAGGAAATATGGTAAGGGACTTGATGTTCAGAGGGAAGTTCTTGTGAGAGGAATTTTAAATGTGTGTCAAATGTTTTCATTTATTTTGTTTTGCTGTTTTATTAGCTACGTTTTGCATAAAGGAATGTACACCAAGTTCTGATTTGGCCTTTCCTTACCCATTTGTAGCTTTGGGATAATAAGTCAATGATCACTTCTCCCAGATTTTTGCTCATAGGTAGATAGATATGTATTTGTATACATATATACATATGTATACACATATGTATGCATATACATATCTATCTATCTACCTAGATAGATATGCAGATGGTGTCAGGAGCGTAAAGAATGCCAGATTTGAATGTATGTTCTCAAGGATGCATGGTTAGAACCATCTCAGAAGAAGATATATGTGGAGTCGTGTGTGCAGATCTGGGGTGCTTTTATTCTGGGGTGTTTGTGGCCCTGTCAGTTCATTCAGCAAACATGCAACAAGTAAATGTCTTTATTACTTTTTTAAAAAATGTATATTCAAAAGAAGAGAAAAATCAAGGCTGTCTTCCTTCCACCACCACCCACCACCACCACCACCACACCCTCCCTGTTCCTTCCCTATCCAGTCTTAAGAGTACACAGAGACCCAAGCCTTGGATCGTCTGAATTAGATGAGATGGGCTTTGGCCTAGAAATGGGTAGACATTCCGACACTCCTCAGGAAACTAACCCTGCTCTACTCCTGCAGATAGTCAGCCCTGGACATCCGATGAAACAGTGGTGGCTGGCGGCACAGTGGTGCTCAAGTGCCAAGTGAAAGATCACGAGGACTCCTCCTTGCAGTGGTCTAACCCTGCGCAGCAGACTCTCTACTTCGGGGAGAAGAGAGGTAGTGGCTCACGAGTTACCCTCTCTCCCTGGGAACCATGGGCTGCAAGAACAAAAAGAAGGGAGGGTCCTGTAGAAATTAAGGGGGAACAAACACTCTCTGTGGTGCAGACTGAGGAGCATTGAGCTATGCTATTTGAGGAGGCAATGAGCCATAGGCTCCTCAGCTGATTCCGGAGAAACTTCACTTCTACAGCTCTGACTTGGGTCCTGAATAGTCTGATAGGATACTGGAGTAGCTTACACCCTTACAGAAGCCCCAAACAGGCAGGTGATGTCCAGTTGCCTGGGTAGCTTACAAGAAAGTATACATGATCCATTACTTTAGACCATCTCTGCTGTTGCTATTGATAATGGTCCAGAACCACCATGGAATGACCTAATAATTGCTCAAAATCAGGAGCACTGTTTTGCCACCTACCCAGATCCCTTCCTCACCTCCTTCCCTCCACAAAGACATTTAGCCTGGGATTAGAAATGAAACATGAAAATTGCCAACAGAAACCTACCTTCCAATTCTCTCTAATTTCCCTCAGCCCTTCGTGACAATCGGATTCAGCTGGTTAGTTCTACGCCCCATGAGCTCAGCATCAGCATCAGCAACGTGGCCCTGGCAGACGAGGGTGAATACACCTGCTCCATCTTCACCATGCCTGTGAGGACTGCCAAGTCCCTTGTCACTGTACTCGGTGAGGCTCCCAATCCCCCACCCTGCATCTCCACAACATGCTCCTTTGCACACAAAAACCTCCCCAGTTGACCTCTGAAGCCTCACACAGAGCCAGGCAAGCCTCCAAGATTTGAGGGGTGAAAGTTAGGTCAGTGTTTCCTCGTTGTGGGATAAAAATGCAAAGAGAACCAAGTTCAAAACCTTCCAGTTACACTTCATGATGGATCTGGGAGAGACCCTTTACTTTGAGCCTAAGCTTTCTAATATAAGAAAGAATGATAATGCTTACTTTACTTAGCTCCCAAAATCATGTGAAGGGAAACATGGCATTTGTACGCAATGTGTAATTACATCTTCCAAGACAAGGTTCTTCTGTTGCCTAGACACTTACATTTTCATTTTGCATTTCAACTTCCTTCTTTGCTTCCCTGAGATTCACACTATTTTGAGCCATCCAGGTTTTTATCTGGGAAGTCCAGTCAGATCTCCGGGCTCAGGTAATGTATATTTTCCTACTCTCACACCATTTCCCTTTGGTCTTCCCTTCTGTTGCTCAAGAAGGAGATCAAAGAGAGAGCTGTTTCTCTAGTCTTCTAACTCATCTTTCCATACTAATGCAGAACTCAGGCATCCCAATGCTTAGAGAGGCATCTCTGAAGCTGAAATGTGACTCATGGTGCCTCTCCTTTCTATCTTGACCAACCCCTGTCTATGGCAGGAATCCCACAGAAGCCCATCATCACTGGCTACAAATCATCATTACGAGAAAAGGAAACAACCACTCTGAACTGTCAGTCTTCTGGGAGCAAACCTGCAGCCCAGCTCACCTGGAGGAAGGGTGACCAAGAGCTCCATGGTGAGGACCCCTTGCCCCCAGGTCACAGGAGGAGGTGGTTCTGGGAAAGAGGGTTACATGGTACAGAAGTAGAAAGTGAATGATGGAGACTTTGTGTACACTGGTGTGTGCCAGGGCCTACATTCTTCTTGTATGTACAAATCCATTTTACAATTTTCTAAATTTGTTGAGGTTGAAATTTACCATCTGTGTCTACAGTGGGGCCCACACAATCTCTGCATGTGAGGACTCACTTTGTGTCCATCCGTGTGTGTGTGTGTGTGTGTGTGTGTGTGTGTGTGTATGTGTGTGTGTGTGTGTTTCTGTCTGTTTTTACACCACAGGAGAACCAACCCGAATACAGGAAGATCCCAATGGGAAAACCTTCACTGTGAGCAGCTCAGTGACATTCCAGGTTACCCGGGAGGATGATGGAGCAAATATCGTGTGCTCTGTGAACCACGAATCTCTAAAAGGAGCTGACAGATCCACTGCTCAGCGTATTGAAGTCTTATGTATGTCCTGGGCTTGGGGATCAAAAGGATAAGACATAAGATGGGGAGTGGGGGAAAAAAAACGCAGATGACTGCACATGAACCAGTGTGCACAAATAAGTGAGCAGGATAAAAGTGAGACTTAGAGCTAATCTAAGTCAGCATCTGGTTGTATTGTTCTAAGCCACTGTCTCAACCCAGCCTCCTAATCAGCCTTTGATATCAATGTCAGATGACATTGTTTCCTTGCAGCATCCTCTGACCAACCCCTGTCCATGGCAGGAATCCCACAGAAGCCCAAGGGTTTCCTTTATTCTCTTTTTTCTTTTCCTTATCTTTATTTCATTTTTCTTCTCTTTTCTTTCTGTTCTTATTGCTTTCCTCTTCTCTCTTCTCCTAGCCTTTCTTCTCATTTCCTCTCCTCTCTTCTCCTCTCCTCTCCTCTCTTCTTTCCTTGATGAAAATATGACCTCCATCTCTGTTTCAAAGTTCAGATATGTTTAGACTGACCATTCAAACTGATGTTTTATGCTCAGTTCTTTCTAGGCAGACAATTTACTACTTGAACCATGCCCCCAGACTGTCTTCAACTCTCCAAGTAGTAAATGTTATAGGCTTGGAGAGCCATACAGTCTCACTTTCAAATATTTAACTCTGTGTGTGTTTTAGGACAGCAGTCAGAGACAATATATGTAAACAAATGAACTGGGCTGTGTTCCAATAAAACTTTATTTACACAAGCTTATAGCTGATATAATTTGGCCCAGGGGATAAGTTTAGCAACCCCTGGGCTAGGCCAGCGGAATGTAGCTAGATTCTAAATTATAGTGGTAAGTAGAGCAAATTCAGAGTCCCAGGATATAGTTTCTACTCTGTATTCCACCAACTACTAGCTTGTGATGTGAAGACAATCCATTTCTCCCACTGAGTTTGAGTCCTTTATTAGTGAAGTGAGACAGATGAACGTGGAGCTCACCAAGGCTTCTTTTCAGTCTATGATTCCATGACCTTAGGATGCAATTGTATCCTTGGAAGGATACAATTCCTCTGACATCATCACATCTTCGTAGGTCTTTTCCCTACTTGACTCTCCTTTATTTCTCTAAGCTCCCTGATGTAATTTATTTGTTTGTTTGTTTTTGTCTGGGTCATAGGATTTGAACTCAAGACCTGGGCTATGTCCTTGGGCTTTTGTGCTCAAGGCTACCACTCTACCACTTAAGCCATAGCTCCACTTCCAGCTTTTTGGGATGCTTAATTGGAGATAAGAGTGTCACAGACTTTCTTGTCCGGGCTGGCTTTGAACCACAGATCCTCAAATCTCAGCCCTTGAACAGTTAGGATTACAGGCATGAGGTACCAGTACCTGGATCAAGCTCCCTGATTTTTCCTGGAATTTTCACCAAATCTGAAATATCCACTGTCAGCACTTTTTTCAACCTTTCTTTCAAACCTTTGTCTCTGCCTTTAACATAAACAAACCAAAACAACAACAACAACAATTTTTTTTTTTTTGTTGGTTGTGAGCCTGAACTCTGAGCCTGGGCACTGTCCCTCAGCTCTTCAGCTCAAGGTTAGCACTCTACCACTTGAGCCACAGTGCCACTTCTGGCTTTTTCTGCTTATGTGGTGCTGAAGAATCGAGCCCAGGGCCTCATGCATGCAAGGCAAGCACTCTACCACTGAGCCACCTTCCCACCCCTCAACAACAAATTTCTGAAGGAAGTCGGGAAACTTTGAAATATTTCATCTGGTACAATTTGGAAATTATGAAAAAGTACCCATCTGGGTGAGGGAACCAAAGAAAAAGGAATAAAGCCCAGAGACAGAGGATAGAATTAGAAAATAAAGAATTTGTTGCCTGAATTTGTCAAAGGGTTGGCTGGGTTTCAAAACGAACTACTTTTTATTCTCCTTCGAATGGAAGACCCAGGCTGATCACATTTCTAACTCTAAGGCTATTTAATCAATGGCTAGGCCTGTTATTCAAATTTGAATATGGGGTAGGTTTGGGCAGTCCCACTCTCCATTTTGTAGCCAGTCAACTAGGAGCAGACAGCCTATATTCTAGCCACAAAGCCAGCATTGATGGTTGTATTACCTTGACCAAAGCATTGACTCTCTCTGTGATTTCAATGTACTATACTGAGTTGTCCCCAGGATAAATGTAATGATCTATATAAAAGAATTCTGTAAACTTCAAAGTTGTATATTGCTATGAGGTGTTTCTCTAATGATGAGTTCTGATCTTAAGACCCCTGGCCTTGATTGATTGCCTCTGAGCCTTGGTACATGACTAGGGCTAAAAAAGGCACTTCCTTGTCAGAGCCCCAAAGTGTCCTCTGGCAGGCCCCAATCCATCTACCAATTATTCTCTGGGGTCCCTTTTGGCCCACCTAGGATCAGCAGTCAGTCAACAGTCAGCCAGTCCAGGCACTGTGTTAGAGATTTCTATAGCTGTGTAGGCCCAGAATAGCCATTCTCTCACCTGGTCTGACTCTTTGTCCTGTATGATTCGACTGCAGTGCGTTCATTAGCTGGTTGTTAAGGTTGGCTCTACCCTGAGGGGCAGCACAGCCTCTTTATCTGCTGTTCTAAACCAGCATCTGGTTATATTGTTTTAAGCCACCATCTGGACCCAGCCTCAGAAGCAGCCCTTTGGCATCAATGGCAGATGCCATTCTTCCTTCTCAGAGCTTATCTATATTGTGTCAGGGCTTATTTTATTTTTTCAAAATTTTCAGCCAGAATATGACACCCCCTTCTCTTGCCATTTCAAAGCTCTCATTTCATGTTTGCATTGACCATTCAAAGTGCTGTTTTGTGTTCAAGAGCTGCTTCTAGTTGTAAGCTCCCTTGCAGAGTAGACAGACCTGAGATGTTGTGAACTCAGTAAGTGTCAAGTTCAGGTTTCTTTGTTCCATTAAAAATCTGTATTAAGCACTGTCTGTGTGCCAGGTCATTTGCTAGGCCTCAGGGAACCACTTCTAAGCTCTGTTAAGCCATCCTATGGGCCCCACCAAGGACAGATTTCCCAGAATCCTATTACTAAGAGGTTACAATACAACCAGTTGCTCCCACATTCAATAACACTCACCATCTTTGCTCTCCAGAGCTGGGGAGGGGGGCAGGGAGGGAGGGAAAAGAATGAACATATTTGTTCATATTTTGAGCTCCTGAGACATTTTGGAGTAGAAGCTGCAGTGTGTAACTTGGTGATTTCAAGATGTTACAGATCTCTTAAGCATTGTCCTGATGCCATTTTCTTTTCCACAGACACACCAACTGCCATGATCCGGCCAGACCCGCCACATCCCCGTGAAGGTCAGAAGCTGATGCTACACTGCGAAGGCCGTGGCAATCCGACGTGAGAAAATTCACTTGCTGGCCTCTAATACACCTTCAGTACTCTCAGATTGTCATCTTCACTGAACATCTGCTCTGTGCTGGCTTCAGTTTTTGTCTCCTCTGTGCTGGCTGAGCTGAACTTCCCACTCCTGACTATGTCCAGTAATGCCCAGACTTTATGTCTTCTGCAAAGCAGCAGAAGTGAGCAAGGACACTCCTTAGCTTAACCCCTTCGGTTCCCCAAAAGTGCAAACTTGCAGCAAGATAGACATTAAGAAATCTCTACCTTCTCCAGCATGAGTTCTCCCTGGGATACATAGCATCTCTGGCTCTTATAACTTCTTGAGGTTTCTAGTTTTCCTTCTTTCTTTCTTTCCTTCCTTCCTTCTTTCTTTTTCTTTCTTTCTTTCTTTCTTTCTTTCTTTCTTTCTTTCTTTCTTTCCTTCTTTCTTGTTTTTGTTTCCTAGAGCTCTGGCCTATACTTTCCTGAACACTTTTGATTTTTCTACCTCAATAGCCCCCAGCAGTACCTATGGGTGAAGGAGGGCAGCGAGCCACCCTTGAAGATGACCCAAGAAAGCGCCCTCCTCTTCCCGTTCCTCAACAAGAGTGACAGCGGCACCTATGGTTGCACGGCCATCAGCAACATGGGCAGCTACACTGCCTACTTCACCCTCAATGTCAATGGTGAGCCTCCCAGGTCTCCTGGTACAGCATCTCCCTTCCCCATCCATCTCATACCCTCTCCCCACGTCTTAGTGGAACTCCCCTACCAGGACTGGATGTGGAGCATAGGGAAAGTGCCCACTACGGGAGGCTGGAGCACTTTGGCCTAGACTCACTCTAGGACATGTAATAATGGAGAATCAATAGCAAGTGGGTTCCCGTTGCCTTTGTCTAGAAGAAGGGCTCTGCCAGCACCATCTCTTGTCTCTTGCAGTTACCTCACAACAAGTATTAATAATAAGCATTTAGAGGCTCTGGACCATCATGAGGATGATGTACAGGCATTTCCCTTGCTGAAGGGCTGTTCCTCCTCCATATGGCACTCATGCTGCTGCTGTCAATTTCTTTTCTGAAGACCTTCTACACACTGTACTGGGTCCAAGCCTGCACTTTGCTGAGACATGAACATTGCCTCTTCTGTGCTATTCCTTCCCGAGGAAGCAGAAGATGCTCCTCAGAAGTTCTTAAAGCCATAACCACAAAACCGAGCTTGTGGAGAAGTGACTGTTCAGCACAAAGGCCATTTATGAAGAGTTAGCAGAGATTTTCTTTGTTGTTGTTCTTGTTGAAGAGCCCAGTGGTATCAGGGTCCTGCCACAAAGGGGAAGTACCTTGTCACAAGAACTTCAGAGGCATCTTTACTTGAAATGTCCTTTATGACAGTGCATTGGGGTAGAGGAAACAGCCAGGCTCTAAGGATAAGAGGTCTGTGCTTAAGACCAGAATGTTTAGATTGGCAATTCTGACTCTAGGATTCAACCTCAGCATGTGGAAGCCATCTTGGCACAATAAACAAGGCTATTGTAAGATGCCAGGAGCAATGACAAAGCACCGAGGTCTGGTTTCTGCTTCCAGATCTTTCCAGATTAACTCTGATGGTGATTGGCAATTAGAGAAAGTTTTTATGCCCTGTGGTTGTGATCTTGCTGATCTCCCCTCTGCCTGGTACTAAAAAGCCAAGCAGAGGAGTCCTGTTGTGTTGGTTACCAATGCTGTCCTCTAGTGGTGGAAGGTATGACTGCATCCTATTCCAGGAATATACTGAGTGAAAACCTGCCCAGAATAAAATTAAAGTACTTCCACCTAGAGACAGGGGCTTGTAATTGATGAGCCCCGAGGTCATTTTGGCAGTAGAAGATTGTGTCTTTCTAAGGGATTTCCATTTCCTTCGGCTGTGCAATAATTATATAGATTTAATTTTCAAAGTGGACCCGATCTTAAATACTCCCCAGGAGGGAGACTGACAGGGGATGAACAACGTACTGGGCTTCCTCCAAGATCTGCTATTGTTGGGGTGCTAGGGACAACTTTTCCCTCCCTGTCAAGCAGAGTATAAAAAAAATCCCGAAGCACAAATGTTTTCTTTTCAAATAAGGCGTAGAGAGGCAAGAAGCTAAAAAGCTGGCCCAGTCAACCTAAGGAAACATAAGGTAGGAAGGAAAAAAAATTACAGAAGAAGTCAATGAGGCATCAAGAACTCAAGCTGAGTCCAAGGAAAAATGGTAGTTCTCCCATGGGTGGGAGTTATGTCTAGAAGTAATGTCATTTTGGAGACATCAGAACTGTGTCCTGGGCCTGTGACTTGTTCTTGGCTATCTGGGCCCCTGACTATGGTTGGAGATCTCCTGGTCACATCTGGTCTAAATTGTGCTGTAGGGTTTATTCACTATCCCTAAGACAGATGCTATACATCCAGAGATAACCACCAACATGGGAGGAAGCAAGTCAGTCCTGGTACACAAACTTTTAGATGTTGTCAAACGTCAGGCATCCTTGTTGGGATAGGCTAGAGGATTTGGTTTTGTTGATTTATTACGAATCTTTCCCACCAAGAGAAAATACGGTAATAAAAAGAAGTGCTCAAGAGAGTTTAGGTAGACCAGGAAACTAAAGGAAGAAAAACTAATAATAACTAATAAAACTAATAATGACTGAGCACTCTGAAGGCAGGGCTGGAGGAGTTGCTTTTAGGTTCAGTCTGGAGAAGGTTCAGATTTCCTATTTCCTAGTCTTCTGTCACTTTGTTCTCAGAGGAGCTGACACTGAGCATCATGGTCTAGCATTTATGTTTTTATTTTTGGTAAGGCATTATCTGAGTTTTAATTATGGTCGCATTGGCTTTTCTCAACTCCTTCTCTATCTGCTCTCAGGGCAATTGATAAATAAACTTAGATACCTCCTAGAGGAAAAAGTCTAGAATACCCAACAGAGGAGAGAATAAGAGGGAGAGTAAGATAGGAAAGGAACATTCTGATCACCCATGAGTAAGAGAGAGGGAGGAGGGGGGAGATACTGGTTACAGGTATTAAGTAATTGTTTTAGATCAAAGTCAAGCTCTGGCGTCAAGAAATCAACATGGATAGTTGAGTGTGAGGCAATTTGTTTAGGATGCATGAATATATCAATTCGTCTGAACAATTACCACATTCTGGAGCCGAGCACAGTCTACTAAGGACATGCTCCCTTTGCGGAGTGCTGCTGTCCCATTTTCCTATGTTAGTACCTGCTCTCTGCTGTGTGAAATGATCCAGGGCCAAGCCAGAATTCTAGATGAGGGCTCTCCCCAGAGTTGACCATGCATCCTCTCTTCTTCTTCCAGACCCCAGTCCGGTGCCCTCGTTCTCCAGCACCTACCATGCCATCATTGGTGGAATTGTGGCTTTTGTTGTCTTCCTGCTACTCATCCTGCTCATCTTCCTCGGCCACTACTTGATCCGACACAAAGGTCAGAGGCATCAAGTGGGTGGGTAGAGCCATCAATCAGGGGCAGGAAAAAAGAAGGCTTGCATGAAAGGCCTCTGGAGATTTAGTCTGACCCTTGGAGTATGGAAAGAAGGAAGGAAGGAGAGAAAGAGAGAGAGAAAGGAAACACACAGCCAACCCTTTCAACGCCAACCCTGTGATCACTGAGCACCACCAACCCCACAGCCAAGCCTGATCACCCGGTGATCATCCAAGTCAAATCAAGTCTTCCCACTCCTTCAGCTGCTCATGCTGCTCTGCCTTCAGGTCTCTGCTGTAAGGCAGAAAGCTCCCGAAATGAGTCTCCAGCCCATTGCTTCCTGTACTATCGTTCTTTCCGTCTGTTTAGCCTGTTTTATTTCCTTCTCTGGTCTCTCCACTTCTCATTCCCACACCATCTCTTTCTCTCTCTCTCCTGTTTATGTCTACCCTTCCTTTCTGTATCTATGTTGTTTCTCTCATTCCTTCCTCAAAGGTGCCCTTCTCTGTGAGTGCTTCCAGTCAAATAGCCTAGCTGCTCAGGCTGCTCTTTGCTGCATTGCACTTGCTTGTGCACCAGTACACGCCCATCTCTCCCGGTCCCCTCCTTGCCCACATTACAGATGTGATTCTGATGAAGGGCGGGATTCATTATGCATGGGGGTGTGGTCAGGTGAGAGACATTGGCAGCACAATGCAAATTAGGTAGTGTGGGGTGGAAGAAAGCTGTACTGCAAGAGCAAATCTCCATGAGCAAGGTGCGAGTGGGTGGCAGGGAAGCGGGTAAAGGCTGCTTCTGAAAGATGGAGCCTCTGTCTCTCCACAGGAACCTACCTGACACACGAGGCCAAGGGCTCGGACGATGCCCCGGATGCTGACACGGCCATCATCAATGCAGAAGGCGGGCAGTCAGGCGGAGATGACAAGAAGGAGTATTTCATCTAGGGGCACTCATCCACCTCTTGCTGCCCTCCCCCAGGGGCCCCCGTGGGGACTGCTGGGGACATCACCAACCCGGACTTGTACAGAGCGGACCCCAGGGCCGCCCCTCCCGCTTGCTCCCCAGCCCACCCAGCCCCCCCTGTACAGAATGTCTGCTTTGGGTGCGGTTTTGTACTCGGTTTGGAATGGGGGGGAGGAGGGCGGGGGGGAGGGGAGGGTTGCCCTCAGCCCTTTCCGTGGCTTCTCTGCGTTTGGGTTATTATTATTTTTGTAACAATCCCAAATCAAATTCCGTCTCCAGGCTGGAGAGGCAGGGGCCCTGGGGTGAGGAAAGAAAACAACAACAACAACAAAATCTAGAATGTGAGGAGGGAAATGAGGGTTGGAGGGGTCCAAGGAGTACAGAGCAGGGTTGGCTTGCAGGTGAAGGTTCTCCCCAGCCTTTCTTCAACACTGGACGGATGGCAAAGCAGCTGCCTAGGTTAATGCAGTAACCCAGGGATGGGAACAGGGACCAGCCACACACTGCAAGCCACAGGCAGGAGCAAGAGTCTCACTCACTTTGAACTCCTCTTCCCTCACAATGGGAAGAAGGGAGTGGACAGGAAGGTCTCCCCAGGAGATGGGACCTGCAGGTGGTACGCAGCTCTAGGGGGACCAAGGGCTTCACCATGGAGAGGGACACGGGTTCCTCCCGGTAGGGTAAGTTTGGAGAGGAAGGAGGGTGGAAGATGGCCCCATCCACCGATTGCCTCCGTATGGTGATCGAAGACAGGCAGTGTGCACAACAACTGCTCTTGGGGACCAGAAGAGCTCAGCTCACTCTCCTAGTTCCAGCAGCTGTGCGAGAGTTCGCTCTGGGGCGTCAACTGCATCTGCTTCCCCCGCTGAGGGACCCCTCACTCTTACCCAAGCCCCTGGACTGTTGCACGGCAACCACTCCTCTCATGGCACTGCTCAGCAACGACTCCTCCACCTTGTGCCACCCTGTACCCCTGCCCCTTCCCTCCGCCACCCTCGAGTCCTTCCTCCCTCAGCAGCCAGGCAGACATAACAACAAAAATACTAAACGGAGCTTCACTGCACTGAGCTGTTTCCTGCCCAAAACTAAGGGAATAATGTGAACTCTGCGTGTATGTGTGTGTGTGTGTGTGTGTGTGTGCCAGTGTGTGTTATGTAGGCATGTGTGTGCACCTGTGTGTGTAGATCTATGTGAATGAAAAGTATAGGAAGAGGATGATCAAGGGCCCAGAGGTCCTGGGCAGGTGGATGGGGTGTGGGATGTGCAAACGAGGGCCCTGGAAGTGGAGGCTTCCTAGTCAGGGTTTGTACCTCATCTGGGACACTGCTCTATCCTAGTTTTTCCCATGCCATTTCCAATGTCCACCCTGATCAAAAGGAATCCTACGGTGTGTTTTTGCCCAGCTGTGCATTTCTCTCTCAGCCCCTCTTTCTACCTCCCATCTCCAAGCTGTGGAGTCAGTGCACCAAGCTTTTGCTATGCAGCCCTCAGGCCTCTCCCGGGCACTGACTCTCCATTCCCATCACCTATGCCCAGAGAGTAGAAGGCTGGGTCTTGTCCATCTCTGCTTTTTGGTTTTCTGTCTTCCTTCTTTTGGCCCAGCTGGTTGCTATGGAGATGAGGTGGCTCACCCTCCCTTTCCTGGCCAGCTCAGACCCAGGATGCTCCTGGCATCCCCCTCCTCCAGCATGTCCTCCCTGCTCTGACAACAGGCATTTGTACGAAACGGGGCAGCTGCAGCCCAACAGGGCTGCCCAATCCTTCAGTTCAGGTAATACCTTTATGAATCTTCCAGCCCCTGGCTTGGGCCATGGACACCACAGACAGCCCCTCACCTAAGCCAGGACCCCCCTCCCCTCCTTTTACAGCTGAAAGGGAGCTGTTGGGTTCCAGGCCTGTTTGGGCTCCTTGTCTCCCAGCACCCACTTTAGGGAAAACAACTTTTCCTCTTCGAGCTGAACCACTCTACTCTGTCCATATTACACAGAAGCCATATTTGTACTGGGGGCGGGGGGGGGGCTGGGGCTGTTGTGCTGTGTGTGTCTGTCTGTGGGTAAGGGGTGGGGGATGGGAGCAGGGAGGGGATCGTGTATCTTTATAATCTTTCTAACTCTCCTGTGCTAATCTCAGAGGGGCCACCCTCAATATATCTGGATTATCCGTGTGGTTCGGCTGCCTCCTTTCTCCTGCTCTCACTGCTGCTGCTGGCCTGCCTGGATCTAAGGGGCCTCTCTGCTCCCCCTTGCCCTCGGCACTCAAGGGGTGTTGCGTTCTTGCCATGCTTCACTCCCGCAAACAGCTGGATGTGGGGCCCCGAGTGTTTGTGGTGGGGCATCCAGCCTGATGGCGGTGCTGGCCCATGCTAAGACTAAGATGGAGATGGAGGTGACAAACCCGGCTCATCCAGCAAGGACAGAGCAACCATAACTCCGCCAAATTCTTTCCAGCCCCCCTCATGTTTGAACCCCGCACTTGAGCTGATGCCCCCAAAGAGAAGGGAGTGAGTTTCTACAGGGTACCCATCCTTTGGACCTTAATCTAAGTGTTTTGCCCTAGTGCTCCTAAATGAACTATACAGAAGGCACGTAACACACTTGGTGTTAATGCACCCATGGTTGCCTGAATGAACTCCTACTCTCTCTGTCTCCTTGTGCTGACTTGGACCCTCTGGTTCAATTCTCCTCAGATCCAGGCTACATCTCCCCAAATGAAAAAACTAAATGAGAGGCAGAGAGGAGGGGTGTGAAGAAACAGCAGAGCTCCTGGGAAAGCAGCTGGGTGAAGGGCCTTCAAGGAGAAGGTGCTTTGGCTTAGAAGAGCCCACCTGGGGATTCCATACCCTTTGTACTGGCCAGAGGGAAAAAACCAAACCAAAACAGCTCCAATCACTAGAAGACATTCTCCTATGACTAAGATGCCAGGCCAGTGAAGCAGTTCCTGAGCCTTTATGTCTCCCAACAGAAATATGAATAGGGATTACCCCTTGGGCAACAGTCCCATTTTAAAATATGCTGTCCCATTGTCCCCCAGAGCCTACTTTAAATGTGTCAGACCATGTGCTCTGCGTGGTACGGGAAATGCATTCACTGAGCCCATAGGTAGTGAGGCAAATGCCCAAACTCTCCCTGAAGTAGCGTCATAATGCAGCCTTGATAGCCCTCCCCCTCCCTTCCTCCCTCCCTCCCTCTCAGCCTGACATCCCCATACCTCCAGATAATAATGCACCCACCCAGACACCGCCTAGCAGCTACCGCTCATGTGCAAGCACTGATACACAACATGCACACGGAGAAACAGGTACCTTCTCCCACTCGCTCTGATACACACACAGTCTCCCCACAGCACGCACAATCCAACCACAAGCACCATGAACACCCTTTGCCACAAAGGAGAGTAGCTTGTGAACTCTTTCCCTGGATCCTGTTCAAAGGGATGGAGAGTGGTAAGAATTATCAGCTGCCTTTGCACTCCAATTTCCCAGTGCTTCTCTTAACCTCTGCCTCCCAAGTCACCCCTGACCCTTTTCCTTCCTTGTGCTCCAAGAATCCCCACTTGCTGGAAAGCCCCTGATTTCTTCCTTTCTACCTTTGGGGAAATGCCCATCCTTGTCTTCACCTTGTTCCTTTCCTGAGACCAGCAGGACCCGGCAAACTCACCCTCCAAACAGGAAGTCCTTGGCCAGTGCCCTCATGTCTGCCTGAGGCTTAGGCAGGCTGTAGGCATGGGGGGTAAAACTTCCTGAGCCAGTCCTCCCTGGCCCTTCCCAGAGCCTGAGGGCCTTCATTAGCCCCAGACACTTATCTCGGACACACAGCTGCTGTCAGCTTGTCTTGGCCGTTCTCTCAGCCTGCCCAGAGCCTGCAGCGCCATGGGGAACTGTCTTTACCCGGTGAGTGTGGGAACCATACTGTCACCCCTTCCCTTTTTGCCCCCATTACCCTTCCCATTACTCTTCTGGTCTTTATTCTTCAGGTTGTATCCCTTCCTCCACTCCTTTGTTCTCCCTTTCAAACATCTTTCTCCCTTTTCTCCACTTTTCCCCACTCGACTGTTCCCTTCACTGCAAGTTCCATGCAGGTGTCTCCTTAAACCCAACCCTGCCATTCTGCTTCTTAGACCTCTCACAACACCTGTCCTGGCTTTTCTGTGACTCTAACTGCATGCCACCTCCTCAGCCTCTCTGGCCTGTCCTTCTCCACCATTCCCCTCCCATATCACACCATCTTCTGCAGCTCCCTTGATCTCTCAACCCAAGCTTTCCTTATGCCCTACCCTCCCAACCAGCCTCCACCCAAGGGGGCTGGTCAGGGGATTACTAGCTTTTCTGCTCGTCCTCTCTGGGTATGTCCTCCAGGTGAAGCCCTCCACCTCAATGGAGAAGAACATAAGTCAGTTTACTTTTGAAGACTTCTGGAATTACAGCTATGAAGAGAACGACTCTTACCAGTCCCTTGAAGACTTGGAGATGCTGGATTCAGCGGCCCCCTGCCATTCCTGTAGCCTACTGGATGACTCCTCACTGCCCTTCTTCATCCTTGCCAGTGTCCTGGGTGTGCTGATGAGTGTTGCTCTCCTCTTTGCACTTCTCCGACCTCTCTTCCACTGGCAGCTCTGCCCTGGCCGGCCCCTTCTAACTCAGTTGACAGTGGGCAGTGCCCTCTTCAGCATTGTAGTGCCTATTCTGGCACCAGGGCTAAATAGTGCCCACAGCACCATTCTGTGCCATGTAGGCTCCTGGGTCTGGTACAGCTCAGCCTTTGCCCAGGCTTTGGTGATAGGGAGCCATGCCTGCCTGGGCCCCAAACTAGGAGCAAGCCAGATCCCAGGCCTCACCCTGGGCCTCACTGTGGGAATTTGGGGAGTAGCTGCCCTTTTAGGGTTGCCCATCACCCTGGCCAGTGACAGTCTCTGTCCACTGGTTTCTCGGAGGGGCGTGGGGGTTTTGCAATCCATACATAGTGTGATCTGTTTTGCCATCTTCGCTGTATTGCCACTGTGTTTGTTGGGGGTCAAGGGGCTGAAGAAAGCATTGGGCAGAGGCCCAGGCCCCTGGGTCAACATCCTGTGGATCTGGTTCATTTTCTGGTGGCCTCATGGGGTGGTTCTGGGATCTGATTATCTAGTGAGGTCAAGAGTCTTGCTGTTGACAACGTGTTTGGCCCAGAAGGTTCTAGACCTGATGGTACACCTGGCAGAAGCCATGGCCATAGTACACTGCATGGCTACACCCCTGCTCCTGGCCTTGTACTGCCACCAGGCCACTCGAACTTCCTTGCCCTCCATGTCTCTCTCTGCAAGAGGATCTTCTCATCTGGACCCCTTTGGAAGCAAATGCTAGTTCTTTTCCTCCCTGTCGACCTGAATTAAAGTGTATATTGCTTTTATGAAGTGAATGGTTTCTTATTTTGTCTAGGGATGGAGAGGAGAGAAAGGAGAATGGAGAGAGAAAGGCCTTTCATGCTAGACTTTGCAGGTAGCATCTGTTTTTCCTAGCTGGCCTGGGGAGAAAGTGGATGACATATAAATACCCTCAGGGCACACAGATGTTCTCTAGAGCTGTGAGATTACTTCTTGGGGAAAGAAGCTAACTCCCCCCACCTTTGCCCCCCCCAAAAAAAACAACCAGAAGGAAGACATGGCTAAAACAGATAAATTAAAGAAAGAGGCTGTTGCAGGGAGAAAATAGGATAGGAAGAAGTACCCAAAAATTAAAACAAAGAGTGACCATTAAGCCTAAAGCAATAAATTGCTCCTGCTTGAACTGTCTAAACCCCTCCTCCCCCTGCCGCCTGTGTGTTCTATCTCCAATCCCCTCACTGGCTTTGTTTTGAGATCAGGGTGGCTGGGGGAAGAAATGTGGGCAAAGCATCTTGGGGAACATTTCTTGGTCTAAGTTACTTAGCAAGGTAATTTAAAAACCAACTTCTTAGGAGTTTCATGTCATGTGTGTATGTGTGTATGTCTGTGTGTCTGTGTGTGTATACATATCTTCATGTGTGTATATATCTGTCTCACAGTCGATTAGAACCTACATTTACATTAGATGGACGCATGCGTCTGTACATGGGCTTGCAGCTCAGTCAGACCACACATACCTGGGTGTTGCACTGGTCT